CGGATTCGGAACGAAAAACAGAAAAATGAGTGTTCTTCGACCAATCTCGGGGCGCTGTACATTTGAGGCATGACAACGTGATCATGTGCTTTCGACTGACAGCAGCGAAGGCAGCCGCGATAGACATTACGTCGGCGCCCTCACTCACAGATCCTCGATGGTTCGGGAGAGCCAGCATGGGTATGGAGTAATCGTGAGGTTTGTGCACTTTGCTTTAAGGACCGGCTTCTCCCACTGCTCACGCAACGAATAAGTCGCGGGCGCACATCATTCCAGAGGACTGTCGTCAAAGCAACTGCTTTCCCGAACTTCCATTCGTAGAATGAATTATACCGAGGAACCTGGGGAGACTTCCCGAATCGACGCAGGAAGCAGGTTCAAATCTCCACATAGCTCAGATGATCCATTTAGCGGCATGATGTATGTCGGCAACAATCCGTGAGGTCGTTTACCAGCGCTGGCTTTCTCTAAGGATGGTACAAATACGCTTTCTGCCAAATTCCTCGCACCGTTCTGGCGTGATACACCCCCGCTATAGCCGAGCATAATTTATCAAATGAGGAAGATGAGACGATTTCGCAGCGGAATCACCGGAGACGCATCGGTAAGCGGTCCGACAATGGTCGAGTCTCGAGAAACATTTCTCAACACTCATAATGCTATGATATGACTAAGTGACCTTTTCCACATGCGACACGGATATGTTTCCATGCGATTTGGTACTTGGCCGAGCGCCCTCGAATCCAAGAACGACGAACTCGAGTATTCCCGCAAGCATGGCTGTATCCGCAGTCGGACGCACCTCAAAGGACAGTCGTCGAAGTCATGGCTCCCCCGATCGAGGGTCACCGTACATATCCTGCGCAGATGGAACAACGCTTTAATTGATGCAAAAACTCGCTTTCGTCTGCTTGAGACTCTTTGATGACTCAAACTCGGGCTCCTCTGGAAAGTTTTCCGTGAATTGTCGGGGAATTCGGTCGATGTCAAATTGAATTTCGTCAAGCAGGGCTAGCCAAGCGGAAAATTTCTCGATCGACCGCATCCAACGGATGGAAACTAGTTTTGAACGGGACGCCTGGATTCCTCGTCAAAGGATTCGCTCCGTATCACATCTCGCTTCCCGGTACGAGTAGGAAACAAAAACGCGAATTCTCTGATACATTGGTCAACCCTACGAAGCTTAGCAAGTACGTCAACTGTCTCTGGATACTTTTTCTCCGTATCCCTGGCGAGGGAAGAATGTTCAGAAAAGTACGACCGCAGCGTTTGAGAGTCGCCGGCTTTGCAGAAGTTCATTTTGATTAAGTCGAGAAGGCTCCGTGTAGAAGGAAGAGAAATAGACAGGAGACCTGAAAACATGACGTACGCATTTTCCCACACGCGTGCACACAAATGAGAAAATACGAACGAATTTCTCATGTACGGACACACGGACCCTGTGGACGGACGGACCCGGGTACAGAGCCAGAAATCTTGTGACAGCAAAATTACTGTGGCAAGGCTGGCAGCTCCCGCTTGTCTGGATGTACTAAATTGGGACAACCAAATGTCTGCTCGTATTCGCTCGAGTGTGAAAGAGAAAAGTAGTGAGTAGAGCACAATTGGTCCTCATCATCAACGGACATCTTCGTCAGGTGGCAGAAAATGTCGGATCGACTCACATATCGAAACATCTCGGAAACTTCAACTCAATCTGGAATATCCTCAAAGCTCCCGAAACCTGATTTGACCACGTTCGGTTATGGAAGCGGAGCCAAGACTCCCTCGCGATTGAAGCTCTCACAGAATATCGGTTGAGGCTTCGTTTGCGATATTCCGAACTGTTCGTTCATGGATCGGCGCTAGCAGCTCCACGGTTCGCATGAATCCGTTTGAGCACCCCACGACTGTCGACGGAACGGCGCCGTTGAATCGACCACGAGGCGACTTCGTACAGCATTTTGCTTCGGATAACGGAGCTGCAGAACGGTCTCCAACCGAGGAGATCGTGGTCATGGTCTTATGAGCAAAGTCTACTTCTAGGAGGCCCCACTCGAGATACGTACACTACGTTCTGGCATTCTCTCTCATGACTATCTGAACTGGTATAAGTGCCTTCGAGGACTCCTAAAGAGCAAAACAATCAATTGCAAATTGGTTGTCGATCGGGCTCTCCTCCGCTCGTGAACAACCCTCCTAGCGGTGACTGAATGCCTAGAGAGCGTGGAATAAGTCATCCCTTCGGTCTGAGGCTCGTACTGTGGGCCCGAATATATCTAGAAATAAAGATTTCGGCTCCACAAGGACCGCTCTCTTTTTTTCGTCTTGAAGGAGTACTCAATTTCCAATTCCCACGGTCCGTGCGGAGGTTCGAGGACGATGACAGCGGCGATGAACCGACTACACCCATACGCGAATTATAGTGGCGTCGGAACGAGTTTCTACTGAGGACGAAAAATCGAATGGTTCACAGGGTGAGTCTCACGGTCGAGGAAGATAACGATATTTCCACGGACCGCCGACATTTGCTTCGAACAGGTGCGCCGGAGTTCCAAAGCGGGCGCTGAAGACGGGGCATCCGCTGCGCCGCTTTTATCCGCATGCTGCACAGAAAGCGAAAATCATTTGATAATATCGATGTCTTCCGGAATTGTGAGCGAGCGTCAGTCGCTCAGTAATGATTCATCGCGGATCTCCGCAGTCAAGGGTCATCTTATTGTTAGTTGTGTTCTTTCTTTCTCCTTTCTTTCTTCTATCTCCTCGCCACTCAGTCTTCGTAGTCGCCAGTGCCGGACATCATCGATCCTACGGCCTGGCACACCGTGGAAGAAGTCGTATCAGGTCAGAACACCACTTCTGAGGCGTCCAGAACAGAACCTCAATTTTTCCTCAACCTCCGTCTAAACAATGGAAATTATCGTCCCGATGAGCTCGAACGACTTCCGATGCCCGTAGGAGTCCCTCTTGTCTGGGAAAAGATCAGGCGACACATCGGGTACGACGGTACGACCATCTCAATGGACGTAAGTTCGCGAGTCGAATCCTCATATTCAGACACCCGAAAACATATTCCTCCGCGTTTTCATGGAGGAAGCGGGAAGGGAAATTCCCTATGATCGTCTCGCCTGATGCGGATATTCTCACTTTTCGAACTCACAATGAAAGAAGATGGGACTCCAGGGGGGTTTCATGATTCTTGAACAAGTATTGTGATCACCTCTGAGACTTCACGCACAGAAACTCCACCAGAAACACCTGATCTTTAGCGTTCATCAATCTATTTGGATACGCTCTGAGTCCTTCTTCCGACACCCGCATAAACAACCGTAGGGAAGAACCACCATCGAAGAGAGCTCTCGCTTCCTATAAGGGTTCCCAGCTCTGGCCCTAGATCCCTGCTTCGAAAACGGCTGCTACTAGAAGAGAAGCCCACGATGCGAGAGTAGGAGGAGGTCTGCGAGACAGTCTCGCATCCGAGTGATTACCCAGCGGAGACCGACGATGTCGGCAAACGATCGGCATGCTATTGTGTTTTCGAACTCCCAGAATAACCATTCCTCGACTGGAATAAGGAGAAGGAGGACATTCGTGTCGACCGTCCGAATTCCGCACAGATAGATTCTTTCTCAAGGATCGGCGGAGTATTAACCCTCTTTCTCCGATGAGAGCCGACGTTGACTCGGAGCCGGAACGCACGTAGCGCTCTCTTCGGGGGAATTTCGCTTCTATCATCCTTGTATCATCGGCAAGATTATTTGAGCGTGGTCAGCTACGGACTTCGGAACTTTCTCATCGGATCCTCTCATCGGTAACGCCTCTGTCATTTCCCTGTGCGGTATCTCGCCAGAACGGAAGAGTCGTTCTTTCGTGCTACAGAAGTCGGAAGTACAATACGAGGAAACAAACCGCTCTGCGATGATTTGACTCAATCAGAATTATCCGCTTCTGAGAGCTTTAGGGCTGTACGCGAGTGGAAAACTGTCAATTAGGTCGCGGCGCTGAGATGACATCGCTTTTGTTAGATGATTTCATCGGCCGTCTGACCGGAATGCTCTGTCTCGCCGCTCGATAATTTTCTTGGACGCCCTCGGCTGCAGCGAATGCAACGTCCGCCTGCTTCCACTCTCCATCCCCCTGATCTATCCGCATATAGGCTCGAGCTCCGCGAATAGTTGGAATGAGACCGCGGCGTCATCGAGCCCGATGCGGCTGATGGTGCGAAAATCCAGGACTCATGGGATTCGAGCCGAGCTCCAAGGATTTGTTCCCGCATGTCGTGTGGGAGCTCGATCGGAGGAACGCAGACAAAGTTGGAGTTTGAAAACGAGGGTAAATATACCACTAATAACGCGAATTCCTGAGACTCATTCGGTAGAGTATTCACTTGTCACTCTTATGCTTTTTGAGCATTGTTCGGGTTGGCGCGGCGGTCTGATTTGTCAGCTCGCCGCTCAGCGCAAGCGACCGCCTAGAATGCGCTCGGTGTCTATGGAGAGGTAATGCCAACAGCCTTCCACATCGATATTAACTGGAAACCACCGATTCCCGAGATTCCAGAGATAATCCAGGCAGGTCTGTAGGAGTCTGTTTTCGTCAGAGTTTAATGATCCATCGAAAGCGTACCAGGAGTTTCTCGGAGCAGATGTCGAACTCTCAGTCATTGCTGTCGGAGCTGATCTCAGCCGCAACAGAACGTCCGGCGGCAAGACAATCGGGCAGACGGGTCATCGTGGGCCTGGGATTGGGATACGGTTTCCGCGTAGTGATTCAACACCCGAGCTAGGACCACGTATCGTGTCCGACTAAGGCGACTTGCCTTATGGGTGGGGTGGGGTACGGCCGGCTGTCGCCTAAATATAGCACCGGGACAGACGTCCCGCGACCGCGGAAAGACTTCCCACGCTGTCAAAACGGGGATTCTTCGATTCTATCACTCCATGTCTATGAATTCGCAGTTTCTATTCGACAAGTAATCGCGGTCAAGCACAGAGGGAGCTCACCGATTCATTTGATATCACGATGGTCACTCATGGGGGATCCTTACCTTTTTTTCTCCTGGGAGTCGAAACTCCTCCCGAGGCCGAAAGTTTTCGCGAGCATTTTCACCGATTTATGCCGAGGCTCCCCTGACTCAGGCTCTCGAACACACGACACTGTCTCTGCTGAACATTTCTCCTGCAGATTTGGTAGGAGCCGCAAACCACTGTGGTCAGAGAGTCCGGTGTCTCTCAGATGAGAGCGCACACGCACGCAAGCACGCACAGACGCCGTGGAACCCCGAAAGCACTCCGAAGTTGGCGGCAAAATCAAACTCCGCTCGAGATACACTTCAGACACCCTGGTTGTCTTGATACACGCTTTGAGTGAACTCGCGGAACTCAGATAAGGTTCACTACTTGACGCATGACATCACAATGCTCTCAAATCAATGCGATCTCATAAGGTGTGTTTCCATGAGACTTTCTCGAACGAGAGTCCCCGACCATATCCTCCCGAGCATTTCACTACCGGAGCGCGAAACCGGCTCGCAGGCTCATGAGAGTTTCACCAGCTCCTGGGAGAAACAACAACTTTCTCAACGACGACGAAACCAAACAAAAGATTCGCTTTCTGTGAATCACTCACAGACACACGGACGGACGGTCAGGCACTTTCATCTGAACCCAACATCCGACGTACGTGGTTTCGATCCGAAATTTTTGCACGGTCGAACGCTTGCTACGAATTTTGTGAAAATTTTCGGATCGTTTACTACAGAAGGATTTTCTATTTCTAGAATTACGGGGAAAAAGTTAGGAAGAAGCGAAATTTGTTCCTGGGAGAGTGGATTTAATGATGCTGGTGATCTTTGCTTGCACTATCGAGCGCGATTGGGCAGTCTATCTCTGAGTGAGCTCACTCTATCATAGCCTATAGGCTCTTGCGCTTCTCACCAAACTTGTATCATTTTGATTCAAGTTTGGTGGGAGCTCTGTGAGCTCCCCGTGCCGATCGACGAAAGAATCCGCGGCTCTTGGTCGTCTCAGCGATTCTCCTTTCAAATGACTCTACGGTGGCATGGTACACCCTACGTCTTCGCCGTATTCGGCTCTCTCCAATTATGATGTCGCTAGATTGCAACTGTCGGGTGTCATGAATATCTAACCGGATATATAGAGGCATACCGGGGGGCAAAATCGAGGTTCCAAGTCGATCGCCGAGCTCTAGAGTCTGGACCACCGAAGCAAGTCCTGCCGTCCTGTCGTATCTCTCTCGTCCTCGATTATTGCCCGCAAGGGCTGTTCGCTCTGCATCCGACTCCGTCGGACAATCGGATCGAAAAGGAGACGGGCAAGCGGATTGAAGGAAAAGGAAGCCGCCCGTAGAAATACGGAGGGCGGTCGCGGCGGTCGATCACTCATGACATGACGATCATCTCTATGTAGAATTGACGAATTCCATTACATACAAATCGCCCACATGAGGTGCCGTTAAGAGGTTTCGATGATTAGAAGTCATATTATGACCCCCGAGGATGCTCTCCCGATGCGATGGGAGCAATGATGCACATTGCACATGGTTCCCGCGGCATCATAACGAAGAGGCGCACTGTTCCGGCTGGAATCCTTCCGATCACTGACATTGAATGTTTTCCTTCCTATCTATGATTGAGAATTCCGTTGTTTGTGACATTCTCTGAGTTTGCTCCAGAAGTGACGTTGATAGAGAAAAAGATCAAGGGAATAGATCGTGTGCTGCCCAGCAACAGCAACCATGCTCATGGTCCTCATCATCCTCATGATTTACGAGTTCTTCGAAAAATTCGGTTCCCCGAGCCAAGCTCGGAAACGGACATGAGGATTCCGATGCTCGAGAAATGTTTCGATTCTGCTCAAGAACGGAGGGTCCCGCCTCATCGACAGCGAGCTTTCAGCAAAGATCACGGATATCATTGTTTTCGCTCTTCGGCGTCAACACATTATCATTTACTACCATATATACCCCCGGAATTATTTCCCGGAATTCCAATCGACCTTGGACACCTCCTATCAAACGCTCCGTCCACAATACTTGCAATCCCACAAGAGAGTGCAATACTACAGCTCACGTCGAACTCTGGCTGCTTCAACACTGCTTTATACTCCACGGAGCAGTCGACGGTCGGAGTGCAGAACATCATCATGGCGCCGGCAAAAGACAGACTTGTTGGACGGGTGGATATACCTCTGTATTCGATAAATGCCGTGTCGGAGAGACATGTTGTCGTCGCAGGAGGTGGCGGGAAAGCGAAGACTGGTGTCGCGAACAAAATCGTGAGTCTCAGACATCTGAAGTCGATTGTATCGCCGGCTATACCCCATCATGGAATTTCATCATCGAAGTGACGTGTCATCTGTTCGGAACGATTTTTCTCCCTTGATCGTTGCTCGGAGGGATTCCTCTCCCACTCCGTCCATGAGGATTCTACTCAATGAGTCCTGGAATCGCCCTCTGTGAATTCCATCGGACTCCTCAGGAACACGACCTCTTAGCGAACTCCCCCGGCACTCCGAAGCCGCTCCTTGAGATCTATAACAAGGCTCTTTTTCTTTCTTCTGAGGTTCTTTCCTCCATTTCCGGAATCACCAGATAACAATGATTCCGGGTCGGAAGATAATAGGGCATGATATACGCTCTTGTATTACAGGAGGTACTCGAAGTTGTCCCGGAAGAGAAAGGCACATTTACAGCAGAAGTTGTGGCCAGCTATGACACATCAGATGCCGTCATGAACGCTACAGTTTGTCAGATAAAAGACTCGAGGCATCTTTTCATAGCTGCCGGAATCGAGGACATGTGCGAAATGTACCGGATGAAGTACACCATACAAACCCCGAAGTTCAGCAACGGGGCGGTCAAAAACCATGAGGCACCGCTCGAGAACGGTATACTTTCGTCGCTCTACCTAAAACCCTTCGTAATTCGGGGTGCAGCAGAGATCGCCCTGACGGAATTTATAGGTGAAATCAATCTGAGTTACGGTACCATTGCAGTTGCCAACTTGCGAAAACGCAAGGCTGCAGCCGGAGACGCTGAGCCTGCCCGGGCTCAGCCGAACGATCGGGACGCCAACCTGAACTCGCTGAGATTGGGGTTCGACATAACGCCAGAGATCTCTTTCAAGAGCGATTTCAGTGAGAAGAACCCCTTCCAAAAAGTTGTCCGATTCGCACCTCTGAAAGGAGTCATCCTCACCGGCGGCGGTGATGGTTACTTGCGAGCCTGGAAGGTGACTAGTGAATAATGGAATCGATTAGAGCTTATCAGTTCAGCGCGTTCGATAGAGTTCTCAAACTGTTTTCGTCAATTTAGAGTCCCACTTTCAACAAAGTGTTCGAGGTAAAAGCTCATGAGGGACCGATCGATGACATCGCCGTATCGACTCAGGATGAATCTATTGTCACCATCGCAAAAGACGGGAAGGCTTCGGTATGGGACTTCAATGGAAAAAGAGTTCTAGATCTGCACGTGGATCTACCAGTTCAGGATAAATACGTCTACAGGAACTGCAGGTCAGCCCGGTTTCATTAGAGGGATCCAGGTTGCGATTGGTCGCGACGCAGATTCTCCTTTGGAGGAACTTTTCGTAATGACGAGCCTATCTCCAAGTCTGGAATTCACACGGAAATTCATCTGCAGGTTCGGAATCGTCGAAGGCAATAAATCGGTATGTCGTATGTTCACCTTATTGAATCCAGCCGCGTATAGGCGCCCACCTCGACCGACATACATCGTGAAATGGAATCCACACAAGGGTTTCATGCCCGAAAAGATCAAGGAAGCAGGGGTCGATTGCTTCTCCACCATGGCCGTGAGGTGAGGGAACTATTGACGTTTGGTCATAGGCACAAACAAAGTCCGAACCCTTTCTGATCCTCTCATTATGAGGATGCCCAAAGAGGGTGCAATCAAGGGAACGTCTCTCTATTGCAGCGACGACGGCGTTTTCATCGGAGTGGGGCGATTGTCCGGCGCGGTCGAAATTTACATATCCTTCTCACTGGAGCGGATCTATGTCTGTGAGAAATCTCATAGTACATTCGTGACGGGTTTGACCTTCCTGCGCTCATCCCGAGAGACGAGAAATTTGACTCAAAGTGATGCAACCCTGATCTCCATCTCTGTCGATAATAAGTTGAAAGCACACTGTATACCTCCCCAATGTAAGTTCAGATAGAGAGCTCTCTGTGGCGATTTCAAGCATTCCGTCCATCGAGAGGCATGAGCGCGTCTAATTGATTGTTTATTACCCTTGCAGCATCCATGAGTGTTCTCGGTATCGTATGCTTCTTCATCTGTTTTATGATTCTAGTCTATATCGTACTAAATGTCCTAGGATTATAGTGAAATCGGAGCTGATCGATCATACAAATAAAATGATCTTCACTTTATACATAAAACACTCATGATCTATTCTGATGCTGACTCGGCACAAGTCGAGTCATCGTGGTGATATTCGGTTTCCATGCATGAACATCTGTTTGATCTCCATGAGGACTTGCATCGGATCCTCTTCCGACTGCGAGCTGGGATGGAATCGATCGCGTTCATCCACATTTTGGTTGCCCCGTCGGCCCTGGCAATCGGTCACTGATTTTCTGAACAAATGCTGAGAGACGAACGAAATTGCCAAATGCGATAGGCCTTCCTCTTGTCAACGGGAACAGAGCGATCTCGTGGCTCCTGACTGATCCTAAATGATGTAAATTTTTGGCGGTGATTGTAGATTTCACGGACCGCGACTTCCGATAGTCTTCAGCGTTCTCCGCAAAACTCGTCACGCGCTCGATATGTTTCGTTCCGCCAAACAACCCGAAGGAATATGCCCTCAGATCGTGTAGATAGGCTCTGGAAATAAAAGGGCTACCGAACCTCAACAGGGCTCAGTGAGACCCGGACATTGCTTGAGCCTGGCCAAAAGCTCGGGGACCCGGCCGGATCGAGACTCGCAACGAGAGTCGCTCGTGTTTGTTTTCGGGAACATTCTGCCCCGCTCTCGCCGCGAGCTCGGGGCACATATCGCCGTTTCACGCGACTTCGAGGGAGTTGAGGATTTTTCCGCGAAATTCGAGTTTTCTCACCGCGAAATCCGCAATCTCAGCGATATTTCGCCGCGAAGAGTTCACATCCGCACTCATGGTGAGCCTTCTGATCGCAGAGTTCTCCGAGGAGACCATCGTGTGGCTACCCTTCCTTGCCGTGCCGCCCAATCTTCGAAGTTGAGTTTGTCGGGAGTTTTCGTCAGCGGGATGCAGGCCTTTCCCATTTCCCCACCGAAGAGCGCTGGATTCTCCATCACTGTCGAAGATCCCTCTTGGTTCGGAGCGAACTGGAGTCCTGGTTGTGAAAGCCCCGGAAGCTTCTCTCTCCATGAGTCAGAGACCTCCAGGTAGAGTTCTCCTCCTTGAGTGTGAACGGGCCACAGCTCCGCCTAGAAGCTCGAGTCAGGGAGAGTAGTTCGTTCTCATTTCCTCCGTCGCGGAGGAGTCAAAAGTTCGGCTTTCATCGCATCCATTGCCAAGTGTGTCAAGCTCGGTTCGCAGTATCGCGCGTTCGATCCATGACCTAAAGTACGGGATATTAGTATACACGCCGGGAAGGTTGGGCTCCGCACATTTGTAGCCGTGGGACACGATTCCAGCGAGAACCCATCGTCCGTCATTCCGTCTTACGGAGAGGGGACCACCCGAATCTCCATCACAGGCATCGCGTTGACCTTCTTCGAATCCCGCGCACAAGTGAAACTCGCGGAGGCTCTTATCGACCCTACTAGTCGAGTACATCCGGTCACAGTCGTCACGGGGCAAAATTGGCAGTCTCACCGATTGCAGAGTATTCGGGAGCGGGCCACCGGGTTCCGCCTGCCCCCAGCCGGTGACGTAGGCCCCCAATCCGACGAAATCATCTTCAGAATCCGGTAGACATATAGGCACGACGTTTTCGTTCAGGTCGGCGCGTTGAGCGAGTTCGAGGAGAGCGAGATCGTTGTCAAAATCGAGGGATTCGAAACCTTCGTGAACTATAACACGTTTCACAGGAATGGATCGGAGATCTGACTGTCGGAAGTCGGCCTGCCCCAGAGTCACGACATAGTTGGGGAGGTCGGATCCAAGCGCACAATGAGCAGCCGTCAGTACATGTCTGTCCGAGATGAGCACTCCACCGCACTTGTAGTCTACGCCGGATGAAGACGTCTCCTTGATGATGGCATGCCAGGGCCATTCACCGATCCTCGCGGATTTGCCTCCGACGACACGCCTCATCCTGCGTAAGTTTCTTCTCATCATCGGACGTGAGCCGCATTCGATCGTGGACTTCTGAGGATCGAATGTCTTCTGTCTAGCGAAGGACATCGAAGTTTCCCTCGGAAGTTCGTATGGCCCCGCCGGAGCCTTATCGCAATCCACTGGAGATTCGGTGTCGTGAGCTCTTCGGTTTGCGCTTCTCGGTGATCTTCCTGGTCCCAGTTTTTGTTCGCTCGGCGTGAGGGCGAGCGCGATTCGGAGGGTTGAGATGAACGCAATACACTGAACGAGGATCATGTTCGGTCCCACATAGATCACTGAACTCGGTTTCAGCTACGACGGTTTTAAGCGCCCGGACGCATTCACCACGCGTCGAATGCAAGCTTTTATCGAATTTGAATCCGTCGTCTCATCGTCTCTCCCCTCCCAAGGATGAGAAGTCATCGAATGAAGTCGAGTAGCGTGTCTGCGCATGGAGAACTCCGGGGACGGCACGGGCTTCCGCCTACACCGTCAGACCACGGAGCCGCAATTTTTCTGAGGCAGGATAGAGGGATCGCAGCAAAGGCGGGGAGGGCAACGCGGCGTCCAAGTGCTGCTTCGGATTTGATCGGTTGCATCCCGAGAAGGTACGTTCGAAAGAGGAGTGTCCAAGTATATGTCCCAGGGTCTGTCGATTCCGTGGAGATTTCCTGGGCCAAAAGCCGGAAACCGTATTGGAGCAATCGAATGGTTCCCCCCCGATTCCCCCGCGAAGCTCCTTTCCCCTCCAACGAACCGGGGCATATTCGAGGATTTCAGCTCCCATGTCGAGCAACGTCTTTCGGACTGTTTTCGCAACCTTGCGAGAGGGTGCTTTAGACGCTTCGCGGCTGTCGGTCGCTAGCCCGAATCGTGCGACTCGAAGCGAATCCTTGATCGTCAACAGCAGGAGTCGCCAAATGGGGGTCCCCGGACTCCCAGGGGTCCGCGAAATCAACTGCGGACCCCCTAACTAGATAAACTCGGGTGGTCCGCGCAGAGAGAATCGGTGCTCCGGGGGTCCGCAGACTGAGTGGGAAAGGTTGCCGACCGCTGGTCTTCGAGACACACGTTCGATCCACTGCAAATTCTTTTTCTGATTGATCCATGTTCACAGATTTATCCTTTAGAAGAGGAAGTCCCCATAATCCATTCTCCAATCGAAAAGAGGAACCAGAACTCTGGTAGCCTCGCACGGGGTCAGCTGAGGTCCTGAGTCTACGCAGCCTTGCTGTCTGGCCTCCCCCGCATCTCTTTCATCGAGCCGATCCCCTGTTTGAACAATCGTCTCTTATTTGAACGACCGTCGCTCGCACTGGTGTTCGCTCATCAATCGCACGCGCGCTAAGGAGTCATCTTACTCGATGCTCATGACACTCGTTCGCGGAGGTGGCTCTCCTTCTTTCACGCAAGGTCCCATCGACCTCTCCGCGCCTGTGGGAGCTCATCAGCGCCATCCGCAATCCCAACACCGGAAGCCACGCGACCGAACGCGAGCTCAAAGCGCGGCGGAATCGTGCTTGTCACTTCCTTGTTTCAATAAAGACTCGGACCCTAATGAATCTCATCCGACCAGTCTTCGAGCGCGTCGGAAGCCAATCCAGAACTGAATTTTCGTAAAGCGAAGAGAGGGACCGAAGCGACCTCTCGTAGAGTAGAGGAGAGGGGCAGGACATCCAAGTCCTCCCATTCGTCCAGGAGACGACGCGACGTACACCTCACACCTCACCGAGAACGGAGAACACTCCAACTTCGATCTAATATGGGGGGGATTCCTCGATGCGGCAATCGGTGAGACGGTTATAGCACGGACGGTCTGGATTTTCCTGACGCGGCGGAAGTTCTCCTTCCTTCGCCAAATCCATCCCAATCCACCGAGATTCAGATCGAACACTTACGGATCCTTCATCTCCGGTGCAAGGGGAGTCAGGCTCGTTCAGGGTGCCTTGTTCTTCTTAGTATTCTCTATTTAATGGAGTTTCCGACAAGAGCGCAATGCCCCTCCACCCGCGCTCATGATTTGTCTCCAACTTATTGCCATCACGAATCCCCCTTCGCGAACTGTTGTCACTGAACTTCCAATTTGGATCCTAGTACTAGTAGTAGCTGAGGATTCAAACTCGAAGCGTCGAATGAAAAGAGTGGGTGCATCGCCCAACGATCGCCTCCCCCTCATGTTCGCATGCTGTGCGCCGGCTTCCCGAACCTGATCGAGGGTGCTCTTAATCATTCTGTCGTGCTGCAGCTCTGAAAAACGGAAGCTCCTAATGGCACAGAGCTCGTAAAGCTCCTTCGCGCGAGCTGTACTTCGGGGTGCTGTGTGCTTGCGACAGTTGCCGCGGTCGCGGACTTGAGTCCGCGGAAAAGCGCCTCGATCAACGCCGGATATTTTCGGATAGGCTGCGGCAAGTCCTCTTCGTGATGAACTATACCAAACAGCGTCCCCGGGGATCGGGCACTTGGCCCCGCTTCCAGCTTGGACCACATTTGGTGGTCGACCGAACCGACCATCACAATCGTCGATACGAATCGGAATATATAGATGGTATAGGTGGACCCCCTAACTCCGCGGAAACCCCTCGAGCGAAATATGTCTGACTGAGCTCTCGCCCCATCTCAGGTGATGCAATCCCGGGTCTGGCGCAGCCGGTCCCGAGATCGTCAAGCTCACTCATCGGGCTCCGACAAGCGCGATCGAGTTTATTGAGAGATTTCCGCATGAATCATTTCCAGAGTCATTCTCGAGTTTATTTCTCTTCCGGTTCCAGCGGATTGAAGTTCCCCGGAAATCACCGGATATCGTATTCTCAGGAACGCGACTACATTACAGACCTGGAAGGGGACTTCCGGAAATATCTAAATAATCATGGATTGATGGACACTGACTTGTGTGGAACGATATAGGAGCTTTTGTCTTTCCTGTTCTCGCTCGCGCTCCAAGTGTCCGATAAATTAATACCACTGGTCTGATTGATGATGGATGACGATTTATTCCTGAGTGAGCGGCTGCATCCAGCCCCTCGTCTCTTCCGGGCTCTAATCTTATCACAAGGCTCAAAATACCGGGAATATTCCTATCTGCTCGAATAAAATGTGCGTGAGATGTACCGCCTATGAGAGGCGCGAGCTCATCCAAAAGCTGCAGACCCGAAAGACAAGCAACGTTGAAGGTGACTTGGCATGAATACTACATATATCAAAATATCACACCTACGGAAGATATTCTACTCTCTTCGGGAAGTAGTAACCGAGTATTCCTGCTGCTTCCTCATTGCTCCGTGTCAAAATCATGGCTCTCCCGATCCAAGACCGGAAGAACGGAATATTGGTGTATATACCAGGAAGGTTGGGCTCGGCGCATTTCCAACCGTGAGAAACGATTCCAGCGAGAACCCAACGCCCGTTACTCCGTCTCACAGAAAGCGGGCCGCCCGAATCTCCTATACAGGCATCGCGCTGACCTTCTTCGAGCCCTGCGCACAAATGAAATTCGCGGACGGTCTTCTCCACTCTGCTCTTCGAGTACATCTGGTCGCAGGCCTCAGGAGGCAATATGGGTAGAATCACCGACTGCAGGGTTTTCGGAAAAGAGCCATTGAAGGCCGTCTTGCCCCAACCGCTCACGTGAGCATTGAATCCGATGAAGTCATCCCCAGAATCGGGCAGGCAGATGGGCACAACATGTCTACTGAAAACGACGCGATGGGTGAGCAGGATGAGAGCGATATCGTTGTCAAAGTCAGCTGCTCTATAATCCTTGTGGACAACCATCCTCTCCACGGGGATTGTCTGCAGATTCTCCTGGCTCGCGATGGCTTGTCCTAGCGTCACGAAGAGGTTCCTCACGTCGCTCGAGGTTGCACAATGAGCAGCCGTAAGTACGTGTCTCACCGAGATCAGCACGCCGCCGCATTTATAGCTGGTGAAGACGCCGAACAGATGTCTCTCCTTGATGATGACCTGCCATGGCCACTCACCGATACTGGCGGATTTCCCTCCAACGACTCGCCGCACCCTCCGTCTTCTGGCCCTCATCATCGGCCGGTAGCCACATCCTCGCTGAGGGTCATCAGGATCAGAAGCTCCAGGGATGTCCAAATCCGGGGCTTCCGGTGATCGCCCCATTCCCGATCTATTCTCACCCCGGGAATACGCGACGGTACCAAGGAGACCCAAAATCAACGCAATGCTTCCACGGAGCCGCATGATTTCTCCTTGAGGAACAACGGGATCCGATTTGGGCTGCTTATGACAGGCGCCCGTAAGCGAGGACGACGACTCCGACCCTAATGGCTTGAGACAAGCTTTTATCGAAGTCAAGAAGCAGGTCTCTCCGTCTCTCTCCTGCGGCGACCGAGTCGCTCTCGAATCGAGTCGCATTCCTGTGATTGAAATGAAGTCTGAGAGAGCTCCGGAATGGCATTCTCCGATGGTGGGTTGCGAAGTTCCGCCGGCTGGATCGCTAGGCTGTTCGAAATCCTTCTTGGCGCTTGAGAGTCGAGGAGCTATTGTGACCTCTCACCTGTCGGCATTCCGAGCTGGTCGAGAGCTCCCACTCCCGATTCTGATTCGGAATGAGTTCTGAATTCGATGTTGGAGACGCGACGATCGAAAATATATCACCTACAAGTGGGAAACTCTGACGCTTCCCTAAATATGACCTCCTATTCAGGATATCCAAATATTTTCGGGGATCTTATGATCTGCTCAACTTATCGCCGAAGCAGAGGGGATTCCCCCCATGGTCACCTCGTCTCCGGCAGTCAAAGCAACGATCAGGCAGCAACGACCCGAAAAAGCAGATTTGTGCCAACCTGCCGCTACTCCGACCTCGGAGGGAGGTCGGAAATTCACTAAAGCCTTCGGGGTCTTCGGTGCGGGAAACTGTCGAGAAATTTCCTACGGAATAGACCGTTCCCTGTCAGAAGGCGCAAGCGAACGTTTCCGGATCTACGGATCATGGTGCCGGGATTCGACATAGAAATCCTCCCCCCGAAGCCTGGTGGACTATCGACCCGAGATCTTGCATGATAGCAGCATAACAGAAACGCGGAAACGCTGCATGGGTCAAATAGCTCAAGGCGGTCAGTTGATTTTCTCTCCTCAACTCACTCTGCCTCGAAGGCTTTGCGCGATTTCGGAATGAAAAACAGTCAAATTCTGCAATAATGACGAAGCCGCTCGAAGTTCGAAGTTTGGACTTCGATAAAAGCTTGTCTGAAGCCATTAGGGTCCGAGTCAGAGGCGCGCACAGGGGAAGGGGCAAGGAGGCCATGGTCCCTACCAAAATTCTTCGGTTTCAATGCTAAAGTATGGACCCCGAGGAGGCGCGTCATCATTTTTGGTCGTCTGGCCCCCTCCAAAATTCTAGTTCCCTTCCCCGAAAAAAATCCTGTGCGCGCCCCTGGTCCGAGTCGTCGTCCTCTCTCACGGGCGCCTGTCACGAGCAGAAATCATGCTTCTCCGTGATCGCGTTGCGTTGATTTTGTGTCTCCACGTTACCGTCGCGTATGCCCGGGGTGAGCATAGATCGTGAATGGCGCGACCGCCGGAAGCCCCGGATTTGGACATACCTGGAGCTTCTGATCCTGATGACCCTCAGCGAGGATGTGGCTACCGGCCAATGATGAGGGCCAGAAGACGGAGGGTGCGGCAGGTCGTTGGAGGGAAATCCGCCACGATCGGTGAGTGGCCATGGCAGGTCATCATCAAGGAGAGACATCTGTTCGGCGTCTTCACCAGCTATAAATGCGGCGGCGTGCTGATCTCGGTGAGACACGTACTTACGGCTGCTCACTGTGCACCCTCGAGCGACGTGAGGAACCTCTTCGTGACGCTAGGACAAGCCGTGGAAGCAGAGTGGAAAAGACCGTCCGCGAATTTCATTTGTGCGCAGGGCTCGAAGAAGGTCAGCGCGATGCCTGTGCAGGAGATCGTGCAGGAGATCCGGGCGGCCCGCTTTCTGTAAAACGAAGTAACGGGCGTTGGGTGCTCGCTGGAATCGTTTCTCACGGTTGGAAATGCGCCGGGCCCAACCTCCCTGGTATATACAGTGGCGAACAGAAATTTCCGGACAGGAGGACGAAGCTGATTGGTTGATTCAAAACAGCAGAGCCCGCCATTAAACGGTCAGCACTTCGTCGTCTTCTCCAGACAAGACAATTTTTGAATCCCTAGCTCGTAAATAAGTCACCGCTCAGACGATTCCCATGTACGTTTCTCTCCCCTTCTGCAAGTTCGAAGTCGCGTCCGCAGCGAAATCGCGGTCTGTCCGGAAATTTTCGTTCGCTACTGCACACCAATATTCCGTTCTTCAAGTCTTGGATCGGGAGCGCCATGATTTTGACACGGGGCAATGAGGCAGCAGCAGGAATACTCGATTACTACCTTCCGAAGAGAGTAGAATATCTTCCGTAGGTGTGATATTTTGATATAGTATTCATGCCAAGTCACCTTCAACGTTGCTCGTCTTTGGGCCTGCAACTTTTGGATACGCTCGCGCCTCAAACAGGCAGCACATCGCACATCTCACGCACATTTTATTCGGGCAGATAGGAACATTCCCGGTATTTTAAGCCTTCTGATAGGATTAGAGCCCAGACGAGACGAGGGGCTGGATGCAGCCGCTCACTCAGGAATAAATTCGTCATCCATCATCAATCAGATCAGTGGTATTAATTCATCGGGCACTTGGAGCGCGAGCGAGAAAGACAAAAGCTCATATCTCGCTCCACACAAGTCAGTGTCCCTCAATCCGTGATCATTTAGCCATTCCCGAAGGTGACGAACTCGACCGCGCTTGTCGGAGCCCGATGCTTGAGCTTTACGATCTCGGGACCGGCTGCGCCAGATTCGGGATTGCATCACCTGAGATGGGGCGAGGGCTCAGTCAGACATATTTCGCTTGAGGAATTTCCGCGAAGGTAGGGGGCAGGGGCGTGCCCAGGATTTCGTCTTGGGGGGGGCCAACATTCATCCCGGGGTTCGTCGATCTCGACTTCGCCGTGAACCGAAGACAAATGAAGAGACCGTTCGTAGGCACCATTCATGTTTATATGATATGATAAGGAAGGTAGCTAGCTTAGCTTATCGATTATATTACAAGAGTCGGAGGCGGCTTGATGCCGCTCCTTGCTAAAAGTTTCATCCTTTGACTTCACTCAGGACACAATTTGAGGAGGTATGAGGTGTTATCATTCGATTTAGATGTTAGGAAGTTATGAGATGAGTCATGAGTTGGGCAAACTCCTGCTTCTGTCTCATCCCCGCTCCTCGCAATGAGCGACAACGACGATCTTTCGGATTGAGCGATGGCCATCGCCTATAGAACAATGTCTAACCTTCTCGGATCCTGGGCGATTAAATCGACAACTTCGTCGACACTAACCGGTACATCGCGCTGCAGAGTCATCGAAGCCAATCCATTGAGTCGTTCATGCCCCATCGTAGATCGAAGATAAGTTTTGAGCAGCTTCAGGGAGCTGAAGGTTCTCTCGGGTGTTGATGTCGTCACGGGGAATGTGGCAAATATCTGGAGGAGGGTCGCGATCTTCGGATATTCGATCCTTGGACAAAAGCTGAGTGCTTCGATTGCGGTTTCTGGAAGCTCGTTCCCAGCCTTCCTGCCCCACTTCGCCTTCCAGCATTCAAACTCCCCTCTGAGAACGCTGGCACTGCAGTCTAAGTCGGTCTGATAGAAGTCCAGCGTTTCAATGAGATCGGCGAAAGTGCTACTGACGGTATACTTCGGTACAAGGCATTGGACTTTCATTGCCTTTTGCCGAGAATCGGCGAACAGCGAACGAAGCTCCTGGATCAAATGGTCAAGATACTGAACGTACATAGTCACCCGGAAATAAGCTTCGGGTGTCTCCGCCTGATGATTTTCCCTGTGCATTTGTCTACCGCTAATGCGAGGCATTTTGATCTCGACATCCAGCAGAGCGCAGATCTCTGTGACTTCATCGTAGATTATCTTGAACTCGGTCTCAACATTTTGACGCTTAAGCTCAAGAATGGATAAGATGTTGTCGACCATCCTGAGAGCGGCAAAAATATCGAGGCTTTTTTTCTGTAATTGCATAGACAACGGGAGAAAAATGCACGAGAAGCTCTCAATGGTGAGTAGAGCGAACACGAAGTCGCATTTGCAGACGGAGCTCTCTAGTTCGTATGCTCGCACGCCAGTTTCTCCCGTGACTTGTCCGAGCTCAACCAAACAGTGGAAGAGGGGGACGTAGAAGCTCTCTGAAAGTAAAGAAGGCGTGGTGCGATTCGACCCAACGAGTGGGGCACAGAGCTTTGAGCCGTGTTTTGGACGACGTGGGTGCGTGGGCATCTATCTTATCCATCAGGCATTGGTGTCGCTTCGTAGACTTACAGAAGAAGTTACAAACGCTCTTGACGACACCAGCGGCCAGTTTGATAGGGACAATTTCGGCGGAATGGACGAGCGCGAGGCTGAGGCAATGACTGGCGCAGTGAAAGTACAGGGCTTGAGGCACCACGGCCTTAATTTCTGCTTGGACACCATTTCCAGCTCCTTTCATCGAAGCACAACCGTCATATCCTTGACCTCTGATATTTCTCACGTCGACTCCTTCCTCTTCCAAAGCATCCAAGATGGTACGCGCTAGCGCGGCTCCGGTTTTCTGAGCTACGGCGCAGAACTTCAGAAAAACTTCCTTGACGACAGGCTTGCTGGCTGAGGTCGATATGTAACGCAGGCAAATCGTCAACTGATCGATCCTACCGGCGTCTGATGTCTCATCCGCGAGCACGGCGTAGAACTTAGAATCATTGACCTCCCGTACTATCTTTCTTCGGATGATCTTTCCTATTGCCGCTATGAGCTCATTTTGGAATTTATTGCTCATGTATGTCGCGTTTCGTTTGAGATTGTTCAGATGCTCTTCAAGGAGAGAGTCTCCACAATCAAGACGAAATCTCAAGAGCGCACGGAAATTTCCGTCGTTCGCGTTTTCTCCGCCCGAATCGAGAAGTCCGTTGTCTCTGTGTCCCCTCAGGGGTATATTCTGTCTACCACACAACAGTATCGTTTTCACGATGGGTATCAATCTCTGGCGGTTCTTCACAACTTGCTCTTCTCGGGCTTTCACTAAACGATTTCTGATATCGAGATTGACTCGGTCTCCATGCCACTCAAGAAAGTCATTCGCGCTCTCACTGGCTCTGCGATGATACTCACTGAGAGCGTGATTCTTGAGAATGTCGACTGCTTTCTTGAACCTGTTCAGCGGCTGAGTGATGAGTACACCTCGCTTTCTGAGACCCCCGTGGCTCGAAGATTCTGTTTTCGCAAAAAGAACGCAATGCTTACAGAAACCT